TTCTTGATGCGCTACAGATGGATAGATTTGATTGGATTCACCCAATCACAGAGACCCGAGCGAGAGGCACACTTATGATCGACCAGGGATCTGCCAAGGCGATCCCAGCGATGCACTACACGGCGCCGTACAAGGGCAACATTGGAGAGACTTAGCCGACGTAGTCTGACAGACGCTCACCAACGAGTGGGCCAGATTCCTCGCGAGGCCACTTCAGATACGCACGGATCCTGCTGGGGCCTACCGCGCAAAGATTCTCCACGGGATCTACTGGGAAGTTCGACATGCGGAAGCACAGTGGAAGCATGGGCGAGTGGACGTCTCCATCAATCCATTCATGGTTGCAGCGACCAGAATGGCCATGTTGGATCCAGAGTGCCCAATCCAGGAGATCTTCAGCTGGTGCGCAGCAGCTCACTCAGAGATGTTTCGAGTATCTGGAGCCTCTCCAGATCAAATCCTTTTTGGGCGTCAACTGCGGCCGCTAGACTCACAGCTCACGGGGTCGGTGGTACAACTACAAGCCGAGACAGAGATCGGCACCAATGCCGAGCGCATGGTCAAGAGGAGGACGCAGGCAAGGAAGGCGTACGCTGACGCTCTAGCCGATCAGCAAGCACGTCTGGCATCCATATCGAAGACCAGGAAGTTCACGACGTGGGAGACTGGCGAGCCAGTGTTCTTTTGGGTGGAACGCGGGAGCCAGGGAGACAAGATGAAGAAGTCGAAAGGCGAGTTCACGGGCCCAGCATTGGTCATCAACCAGTTCTACACACACGAGAAGGGCGAGGCACCCCCCCGCATTTTGGCGCTGATCTATTTCATCAACCAGTTGGTTCTGAGCACGCCTCAACAGCTTAGCAGCATCCGAACATGAGGGCACTGTATTCAGTCTTCCAGAAGTCTAAGCCTTTGGAGAGGCAGCCAGTGATGGACGCGCTGGACATTGGAGCCAGGCACTGGGCCCTCAGCCACCAGGCATACCCAGGAGGAGCAGACCACGATCGAGACGAACGAGGAGTACCGGCAGACGAACCAGAAGGACACCCAGAGCCTGAAGGAGGAGGAGATGGCGACATAGCCGCGGAGGAGTCTCGAGAGGACGCAGGTGAAGCTGAACAAGTACCCGAAGGAGAAGAGGAGCTTAGCCCGGAGGAGTTCTCCAGGATCCTGGCAGAGGACTCAGAACCCGAAAAAGGTGGAGGTTCAGAACCTGACAAGGAGGCGCCACCACTTACAATGACAGCTTCCGAAGTTCCGATGCCGGAGACGCCCATACTACCAGGAACACTTCAACATGAAGAACGACATGCAGCGGCCAGCCCCAACACGGATTGCAACTTGACGACGAACCCGCTACTGGACGACGTACCGACGTCTATCAAGAAGAGCATTGCCGAGCGAGAAGACCTAGGAGACCCACAGGATCTACCGCCGGAGAAGAAGGCCAGGACCACGGACGAGTTCGGAGTGTCCGAGATATTCGCCACGTTAGACGAAGACACGAGATCTGCCTGACCGAGATCGCGCTGGAAGGCGACGTCTCGGCAGCCTTTATTGAGAAGCCAAAGCAGGTACTCAAGAAGGCAGTAAAGAAAGGGGAGGTAGAGATCAACCTAAGAAAGGCCACTTCAGAGGTAAAGGCGAAGATCGCAGAGGCCCAAGTAGTGGAGGTGAACAACTGGATGCACAACGAAGTTTGTCAAGCCGCTCTTCAAGCCGCTCTTCGACAGGCAGGAGTCAAGCAGAAAAAAGGTGGGGTGGCATACCATCATGAAGGACGAGTGGAGAGTCAAGGCCCGACTGGTTGCATTCTGATTTCAAGACCCCAGGGTAGCCACAATCGACAAGCCGAGTCCAACAATCTCGGCCCGAGGAAGGAACTCGGCCTTGCAGATGATCGTCAACAAGCATCGATTCGTCTACAAGGGAGACGTCAAGGCGGCATTCTTACCAGGAGACCTTACTCAGGCAAAGCACGACCTGTTGGTGGAACCTGTTCAAGCACTACGAGAGTCACTTCAGCTATCGGACGAAGAATGCGCGAGGATGCTCAAGGCAGCCTACGGCCTGGTAGCCGCGCCCAAGGAGTGGTACGAGAAGGTGGCCAGCGATCTCCAGTAGTTGGGGCGTGTAGCAATGACGCTAGAGCCGCGCCTGTGGATCAAGTGCGACAAGCAGAGGGAGATCGAGACCGTCGTCTTCGTGCATGTGGACGACTTCGTGATCGGCATTCAGGGCCTCGAGATGGGCCAGAAGACCTTGTGGGAGATCCAGAACCTCTACAACTGGGGCTCCTGGGAGACGGGTTTCATCACCCAGTGCGGGTCAGAGTACGCGCAGCTGGCTGACTGCACTATCATCCAGAGCCTGGCCAAGGCAGCACAGAAGGCGGGGTACATCGAGCTGACCAAAGAGGAGCACAAGCTGAAGGATGACGTCCCACTGTCCGAAAGCTTGAAGTCAAGGTGCCGAGGAGCCCTGGGAAGTACCATGTTTTGGGCGCCGCAGGGCATGACATGGCTGGCTGGAGAAACGAGCATACGTGGAGGTGAAGTTCCGACCGGGACCATGGCGACCGTCAAGAGGATCAACAAGCTCAGGCTCACGAGAAGTCATGGATCAACATCACGTTCACGCCCATGAAGGATCCCCTCTTCATCACATGGCACGACGCAGCGTGGAAGGCCCAGAAGTCCGGGGGCTCTCAAGGTGGAATGATTCTGGCCATGGCGGAAAAGATGATCCTGGACGGGCATCGTACAGCAGCTACAGTGATACAAGGTGCTTCTCGGAAACTACCACGTGTGGCGAGGAGCTCACTGAGTGCAGAAATTCAGATGGGGACCATGGCGAACGAAGCGCAGGAGCACGCGAGGCTGGATTGGTTCGAGATGTTGGCAGGAAGAGCCATCAATCATCATGAGATCAACGAGTGCGTCCATAAGGTGCCAGGGACGTCCGTCACAGACTGCAAGGCGATGTACGACAGCGTGGTCTGAGCCTGCTCATCAGGATACGGTTGCAACGACTAGAGATCAGCCAACGAGGCTCTCGCGCTGAAGCAGAGCATGAAGCCAGCGTCAACATTATTGCGGTGGGTCCACTCAGGCGACGATCGCGGACGGCCTCACCAAGCTGGAGACCCGAGCGCTGCAGGTCACTCCGATTGTTTACAGTAAGCACGTGTGGGCCCTGGTTCAGGACCCCAGCTTCACATCCGCCAAGAAGCGGAATGTCATGCGCAAGGGAGTTTTCGACAGCATGGACGATGACAACAGCAGACCACCAGTGGTTCCAGATTTCAGTGACTCCGACTGGGAGAGTGAGTTCGAGGACGAGCAGCAGCACAGCCAGCAGAAGATGAGCATCGGTCTCTGGTCTCACATCACTTCTTGTGCAGCTCTGTCCCGCCCCGCTCAGTCGAGCACGCTTGTTTCTGGCCTTGAGGTGTATAGTTTGCACCATAGGGGAGCACTGAACCCCCCGTGTCGTAGAAATCGGATTTTCCAAGGGAGAGGTTCACGGTATCTCAGGAACAACCGATTTGGTAACGTTTGAACGTTTCGGGGAAACCTCCGATCCGATTCCGTAACTATATCCAGTCCTCGAGCTTTCTGTGCGCGGTTTCATATCGATACTGATTCGGCTCGTGAACGAGCCCAACCTTGTCTTGAGAGAAAAGCGCTACTTTTCTACCATCACGTTTCAGTTTATATTAATATCAACGACATTTCACAACTCTCGCGAATAACCCCGACGAGATCAACAAGAGAACCACATAGGAAGCTCAACCGAAGGCCCCAGTGGCAGTGCTCACGTGCGCTCCCCGCATCAAGTTCGACACACCCTTGACACGCTTCGCGACTTCATAGGGAGTTCCACCGGAGGCCCTAGGGGCAGTGCCGCACCCAGTTCGGCACCAACCTCATACGCTTCGTGGACCTATAGGGAGCTTTACCGTAGGCCCCAGTACCTGTGCTCACATGCGTCCCCAGCACCCATGTCGTCATACCCTTCACACGCTTCGTGGCCCCATAGGGATCTCCACCGAAGGCCTGAGTTGCAGTGCTCACATGCGTCCCCCACCTGCACACACCTCACGCGTTTCGTGGCCCCGTAAGGATATTACACCGAAGACGAGATTCACAATCGCGTTACACACAATTGCATATGGTTGTGTCTTTCGCCAGGATAGTTTTACACGAAACCTCTTCTCACTAGCCAGTGCGAGCCAACAGCCCAGCAGCCCACAGTCTTACGACTGGTTTCAAGGGGCAAGTTCCAGGGCCGCAAGTTTTTATCATTGACTCGACGCCCTACAAGCGCAATTGCCAAGGGTACGTGCACAACAGGCTGCTACTGGAAGAAAACCATACTCCGCTGATAAGTTTGATGGCAGAGTTCGTATAGAGCTGACAGGAAGTATTGGGAGAGCCTGTACGGAAGCATTTCAACACTTTTGACAGCTTCGAGGCAAAATACGATAATCATTACACGGTTGATCCTGAAACAAGAAGCACGAAGGAGAAGTTTGTTCGAATTCGACGGAGGAGGTCAAGAGAGTTGACCTGGGAACAGATGTTGAAGAGGAGTCCAGAGGAGCAATGCCGAGGTTGAGGCCAGGGGGAAGGGGGCTCAAAGGAGGTGGGGAAGATAACCGTGGTGAGGATGGGGAGGAAGAGGTGAGGCAGCACGCGAACCGGACGAGGGCGAGGAGGCAGCGGCGGCGTTCGGGATTGCAGTCGACGGCCAAGGGCCGGGATGACGACGACGGTGGGGGCAACGGCTTCCGAAGACGAGGAGGACTGGGCTGAGGCAGAGGAGGAAGAGGAGGAGGAGGAGGTCATCCTCCTCGTCGTTCTCCTCCTCCCCCTACTCCACCTCCTCCCCCTCATTCGCCTTTTCCCTCTCCTCCCCATCCACCTCCTCCCTCCCTCTCCTCCACCGTCTTCTCCCGCACCTCCCCTTCCTCGTCCTTCGTCGTGGGCAGCGATGGCATGAAGGTGCTGGTACCCGTGCACGCGCTGTCGCAGGAGTTGGGCGCGAGGCTCGCGCTCTTCGAGAGGGTGTACGGGAGTGAGATCGCGGTGCAGGTCGTTGACGGAGTCTGCGATGGCGGACCGACGAGTACCGCGCACGCCGCCGAGGCGTTCTACATCGGGGACATCTCCGAGGAAGACGTTTGAAGCGGGATCGGCGGAGGCCCCCCAAGCCAAGCAGGCCAAGCTCTTCCCGACGGAGCTCACGGCGCCGCAGTTCGACCCGGCGGACAAGATGGTCGCTTGGGTGACCAAGCCGTGGAAGGCTGTGGAGAAGCGGAACGTGGTGGAGTTGGAGAGCACGGTGCCAGAGACGCGCCAGCAGTACGTGCAGGTGCCGGTCGGGATCTTGGAGGTAATGAAGGAGCATTGGGAGTGCAGTTGCGCTGCATGCTGACCGAGGAGCGGGAGTCCCTGCGCATCGATCGGGTCCAGCTGGGCAAGGACATCGAGAAGTGGAAGATGCAGGATCTCAAGGCCGTCAAGCTGGAGGCGCAGAAGAGGGCTGCCGTTATCCAGGCCAGGGTGGCCTCACGCGGGGCCGTGGTGGGCCTGCCCTCGAAGGTGCACGAGGAGCAGGTCCCGGACGCGCCACTGGGCTACTGGAGCGAGGCTCCTCGCGAGCAGATCGCGAGGTCGAGGAAAAGAAGCTGGCGGGCGCGGCTACGGAGCGGGCCTCCAGGACCCGCGAGGCAGCCGCGGCGGTAGCCGCAGCAGTCTTGAAGGCCAAGCGGGCCGCCAAGGCGACGAACGAGCTGCAGGAGTCCGAGCAGGTGGTGGAGAAGCCCTCGGGTCAGTCCTTGGCCCATCGCGCACGGTGGGAGTCCATCCGCTGGGACCTGATGGAGATCGAGTGCGGCCCAGGCATCGAGGACAAGAAGAAGGAGAACAGGTTTCCAACGGCGCCATGGGCCACCAGGCAGGAGCGCTCGGGGTCGGAGGAATTGCGGTCCAGTTCAATCCCGAGGGGCAAGAGAGAGTGGAACACCTACGGTCAGAAGAAGCAGAGAAAAAAGAAGAAGAGGAGGAGGAGGAGGAGGTGAACACTACCTGCGAGGAGCCCGGTGTGCTCCTCGCCCACGCTGAGCCTGGTGAGTTCGGCCCTGCTACGCCCGCCGCGTGCGCTGGTGACGCATGCGGGCGCGGCCACTCGGAGAAGGACGAGTACTTGGTCGACAAGGCCTTCGCAGCGTGGAGCAGGTCGTTCAAGATCAAGGCGCTGGAGGCGCCGCAGTTTTGGGTCGCGAGACCTGAGACGAGGAGGCGATGGAGGCCAATCTGGAGTACGCGGTGGCGACCCAGAACGCGTACGAAGCCTTCGCCGGCGACGGCGACGGCGGGCACGAGGTCACACACCTACAGGAGCCGTCGGAGGAGGGCTTCAAGGTGCAAGAGTGCAAGCAGTCCTCGACAAGCTGCTCAATGAGGAGCCGTACGAGGGCTGAGTTCTGGTTGTTGCTCATATTTGCTTGCCGCAGGCCGTGGTGCGGCTAGTGGTCAGGTGGCCTTTTCCAGCTGGATGCTGCCTCTGTGGAGGTTTGTGCGGCTGGCGGCGCGGCCGACGCACGGGCTCCTGCAGGAGGCACCGCCTATGTGCGGTGCCGTTCGCTTCGCGCGAGGGAGCTTACTCCATTCGCCACCGTTTGCCTCCTCCTCCTCCTCCTCCTCCTCCTTCTCATCCTCCTCCTCTTCCTCCTTTTCCACGGGCGGGAGAAGGCAATGGCGACGTCTTCAGGGGACAAACAGGACGACGAGCAAGAGAAGCACAAGGAGGAGCAGTGGTGGACGACGTCGAAGATGAGGCACCAGAAAAGCCCCTTCGCTCCACACTCATCGTCCCTTATTGTAGCACGACGAACGTCAGAATGAATAGGTGTCCCGGGGGCTTCGTGAGCTCTCGTGGGAGCCTTTCGGGCTGTCGTGGGAGCCTGTGGGAGGCCCTTCAGGCCGTCTTGGAGGCCTCTGGGGGGCTTCCTGTGCCGTCTGGGCCTCTAGGATGAGAACATCAGCGTGAACAAAAAACGTAGAACGCAACGCATCAGGGAGCAGGTCGGCCCAGCGGGCCCCACGGGTCGCCCTCCCCGGCTGGGCCGCGAGGTTCGCGGGCCCGTGGGGCCAGGAGGTTGGTTGCAAGGGGGCCTCCCTCTGGGCCCGTGGGCCCTGCTCACTCCCAGGGAATAGAAGCAGGAGGAGGAGGAGGAGGAGGAATAGAAGGAGGAGGAGCAGGAGGAGCAGGAACAGAGGCAGGAGGAGCAGGAGGGGGAGGAGCAGGAATAGAAGCAGGAGGATCAGGAGGAGCCGCGTGCGGAGCAGAAAGAGCAGGAGGAGCAGGAGGAGGTGGAGGAGGAGGAGAAGGAGCAGCAGCAGCAGCAAAACGGCATAGAAGCCCGCCGCCTCCTCTCCCGCTTCCATGCAAAATTGGCGCGCCTCGTCGCCCAGTCAGGCGGTACGGGCTTCATGGAAGGGGGGGTACTCTGTCCGATCCGTAGGACATGTAAGAGTGTGCCCGGTTCCCTCCCTCCTCCCTCCCTCCCTGCATAGTACATTCGAGTTAAGGTTGTGCTGCCGCTGCGGGTATTTTGCTTGCCTAATGACGAGAGGCCTTGGGCAACAGCGCCTAGAGAAGATTACGAGTCCCTGTCGATCAGAGCGCCTCTTCAGAATATCACCGGGCAGGCGGCCCGAAGGTTCGGAGTCGGACTGAGCTCACTCGTCGGGGCTTTGATTTGATCTCAATTGAGATTCGGTTCGCGGCTGGCCTCAATCCCTCACTCCTCTCTCCGGAAGGGGTAGGGCGGGGGGGGGGGCGGGCCGCCCCCGTGTGCTCTCTCGCGCACGCAGCGCAACACGGCCGCCAGCTGTCGTCCAGGCAAGGGTGCGCGCGCGCGCGCGCCGGGGAGGAGTGAGGAGAAGAAAAAGGAAGATGAGGAGGAGGAGGAAGAGGAGAACGAGGAGAAGAGAAGAGAAGGCGAGGAGAAGTGAGAGAAGCAACAAAAGTATAGCAAAAGGAGGGGTGCGAGGAGGAGAAAGGGGAGGAGGAGGACGAGGACGCGGAGGAATGGAAGAAAGGACAAGAGAAGAAGAAGCAGGAGGAGTGGGAGAAGGCAGGAGGCAGCAGGGAGGAGGGATGAGGATAGGGAAAGGACGGATGGAGGAGGGAGGACGGAGGAGGGAGGGAGAATGGAGAAGGGAGGAGCTTGTGTCGGCGGCACTGGTTGCTTACTTTGTTGCACCAGCGTCGTCACCCGTAGCACAGGCAAAAGAGGCGAAAGAGGAGGTGAAGGAGGGGGGAACGAAGAAGAAACCGACAAGGAGGAAGGAGGGGTCGAAAGGAGGAGAAGGGAGGAGTAGAGGGGGGAGGAGCAGGAGGATCATGAACAAAAATGAGAAGGAGGAGGGAGCGGCGGGAGTGGGAGCGGTGCCCGGCGCGGCAGCGGGAGCAGGAGCCGGAGCGGCAGGGAGCGGCAGGCTCCCCGCGGCCTCACCGAGGCTCCGGGGGCTCCTACGACGTGGCCGTCATCGGCGGCGGCGTGGTGCGCTGCCCCTGCGTGTCCTGCATGTGGCGGCTCACCCCCAGGGGCGCGGAGCGAATCGCGCGTCGCGCGTCGCGGCCTCGGCCGGGGAGCTGCCCCGCTCCAAGGGCCGCCTTGCGGGGGCGCGAAGGTGGCCGCGCGCCGCGCCTCGCGCTGGGCGGCCCAGCGCGAGGGCAGCGGCCTTGTGAGAAGGCGGGGTGCTTTTGAGAGCCTTCCCGGCTTCCGAGGAGCCTTCTCGGAGGCCTTTGGGCCCATCTGAGAGGGCCCTTGCCTGCTAAGAGAGTCCCCCTGCTTTCCGAGAGGGCCGACCCCCTCGCGCCGCTCCCCTGCACGCGCCGCCGAAGGACGCGGTGACGAGTGAAGGGGGGGCTTGCGTATCCGCACCAGCTCCTCCGGCGACTCTCCGTTCTCGCCCTCCAGGGGGGCCCATGAGCAGCAAGTAGATCCGGCCCCGGAACAATTCGGCCCACTGAATTCAGCCACTCTGAACTCGGCCGGCTGACCTCGGACAGTCTGCATTCGGCCCAAGAACAATTCGGCCAGGCTGAACTCGGCCCAGCTGAACTCGGCAAGCCGGAAACCTATTTCGGCTCTCAAAACTGGGCTGGAGAAAGTCGGCCCAGGAGAAAATCGGTCAGAGGAATTCGGCCAGACTGAGCTCGGCCGGAGAAAGTCGGCTCGCGAAAAACTTGGCCGAAGAAATGCGGCAACGCTGAGCATCTAGGAGGGCCCCACAGGTGCGTTGGGGAGGCAGGCGGGACTCAAGGGGAGGGAAAAAGGGGGAGGAGTGACAGGCAATGTTCGCCTACGCTGTTTCACCCCTGGCGTTGGTTGAAGAGGCGCGACGGTGTCCCCAGAAAGCGTCGGCCGAGGGGGGTGACGGCGACGTTGCCTTGGGGGATCGCGGGAGCGTGGAAGGACGAGGGGGGGATGATGGGGGAGGGGGTGGCGTGAAGTCCAAGCTGTTTGTAATCACGCCATTGTTGTGTCTGTGCTGGCCTAGCTTCATCTTTGTTTTACAGGGGAGTGGAGGGTAAGGAACTTGCTTTAGGGCAAGGAAATTCTGTAGTGATGCAAGTGTCTTGCCCGAGGGCAACCGTCCCGCGGGAGACGAGAAGTGAGCAGGGTGAAAAGATGCGGCGCATGTGCGATACATCGCTCATTGGCAAATAACTGAGTGATTACAGCACTCTTTGTAGGCAGCGTCTGCGCTGGCCCAGCGTAGGGCTAGAAACGCACGTGACTACAATATGTGTTGTAGTCACCCAAAGTTTGAGCATCGGTTTTCCATTCATTCCGTCATATGTTGTTGGTTTGGGTATTTCTTTCCTCGGCTCTGCACTTCGGGTCTCGGCTATGATCTTATCGTCTCTCCTGATAGCTTTCCTGGCTCAACTCTCTCGTGAGGGACCTGCGCGCAGCTATGCTGAAATCCAGCCCGGTCGAAGGATGGTGCCAGCGCTTCGGTTTGCTAGTGCAGGCTACACTTGTCTGAACAGGGTCTCACCATCGGCTCTTGCGAATCGACGCTGGTCGACGCTAAATCGACGCTAATCGACGCTAGCCGACGCTAAATCGGCGCTATCTCATCGACTCCCAGACGCTAATCGACGCTAGTCGACGCTAAAGACGGCATTACGAGGGCAGACCAGGCTCCCATGATTTGCTACCGAATCGCTTGCCCGATGTGCCTCGCGCGGGCTCGCCCCGTGGAGGCCGTGCGCGCGCGAAACGCCCACTGCGGCTCCCGAAGACGGTTCCGGACAATCTCCGGCCAGGCGAAACTCGGCCGGCCGAACCGGGCTTGATTCGGGGGTGGACAGAGCCCCCACCCTGACACGTCGATTCGTGAATTGTGCGTTTTCGCTTCTCGAGAGGGCGCCGCGGCCGTCATTTTCCAGGCTTGCGCCAGCCAGGTTTGGGCCCGAGGTCGTTTTCACTAAACCACGTTTTGCTAAAGGGGGTTCTGTCCATCCCCGATTGATAGACTCGGCCAGACAAATTTGGACCAGGAAAAGTTCGGACAGAAAAATGCGGTTCGGGAGAAAATGAGCCAGGCTGAATTCGGCCCGCGTTGCATTCGGCCCGCCGACTTCGGCTGGCGCTCCAGTTGCAGTGGGAGTTCGGGCCGGACGCATTTGCACAAGAGAAAGTCGGCCAGAGAAATTTGGCCCACGCTGAACTCGGCCAGGCGAAATTCGGCTGAGTTCGGCTGGGCCGAGTTCGGCTGGTCGAGTTTCGCTTGGCCAAGCCTTTCCCTGTGTCCGTCCCATATAGGCCCCAGAGCGGTCCAAGAGGGCTCCCTGCAGCCAAATAATGCCCAAGGGCCCAGTGGTTGGCTTCTACTTGATGCCAGCTGAGCAGGCGACACCGCCAAGAACACCAGCGCCCTCCATTCACACTTAGTGCGTCGTCCTCCCTCCCCCTCCTCCTCCTCCTCCTCCTCCTCCTCCTTCTCCTCCTCCTCCTCCTCCTCCTCCTCTTCCTCCTCCTCCTCCTCCGCCTCCTCCTCCTCTTCCTCCATGACCCATCCCTCGTCCTCATGCGTAACTCCTCCTCGTCGCACCGCCCGACATGTCGGCAGTGCGGGCCGAGCGTTTCGCCCGAAAGCTCCACAACACTCATGCCCCCGAAGCTTAGAAGTCCCGACAGCTACAAATATGGCGGGCGGGTAGCGTTTACAGCCTGCGTCTCGCCTTAAGTCCGCGCGCACTCGTTTCAAAAGTATCCAACTAGCACAATAACTGGGCCAATGGTTCTTGACATGTGAATTTCGCATTGGCGCCGCGCACGTGTTGTTTCAAAGCCTCTTTTGGCTGCAAGGATGGAGGGCTGGTGGTTTTCAAACGGTGGTTCTCGCCTCAGCGCCGCGCACATTCGTTTTAGAAGCTTAAGCTTCCAGAAGTTACCAGGATAATAAGCAGTTCCTTTTCAACATTGGGCTCCCCCTTGAGACTTCAAGAAGTACAGCCCGAAGTGTGAAATGGTGTATCCGTTACAAGGATGGAGCGCGGTTCCCTTTCAGAAAGGGGTTCTCGCTTGAGACTACGGCTTGCTGCATCTCCTGAGCCGCCATCGGATCAGTCTTCGACCTCGCCTCGGATGTGTGCGTGCTCCTCCTCCTCCTCCTCCTCCTCTTCCTCCTCATCCTCATCCTCCTCCTCCTCCGTCTCCTCTTCCTCCTCTTACTCCCCTGAGAACCGACGTTGCGGGAAAATGCAACATCGCGGAAAATCATGACCAGAGCCTTAGACCCTATATTTCTGTTGCACTTTTCGAGCGGAACGATTTCTGATGGTCCTGGGGCCCGCAATTGGGCGAAAGCGCATGGTGTGAAAAGCTGCTGCCCGAATCTCAAGGTCCTCATCCTCCTCCTCCTCCTGCTTCTCCTGCTCCTCCTCCTCCTCCTCCTCCTCCTCCTCCTCCTCCTCCTCCTCCTCCTCCTGCTCCTCCTCTTCCTCCTCCTCATCCCCCTCCTCCTCTGCCTCTCCTCTGCCTCCTCTCCGCAGGTGGGTTCCTCCGTCGCGCTGCACCTGGCTGCCCTGGGCGGCCGCGGCGCCCGAGTCGTGGTGCTCGAGCCGGACGCGTGCTACCGGTGGGCCTCCGCGCCGCGGTCTGCAGGCGCTCACCGCCCGCGCCTCTCGGCCGCCACGTCGGCGGCAGCGGCGACGATCGACGACGGCGGCGGCGACGGCGACGACGACGACGGCGACGACGGTGGCGACGGCGCTCACCCCGCCGCCTGTAGGCGACGGAAACCACGGCGACGATCGACGACAACGACGACGACGACGACGACGACGACGACGACAACAACGGCGGTGGCGGAGGCGGCGGCGGCAACGGTGGCGGTGGCGGTGGCGGCGGCGGCGAGGCAGACGGCGGCGGCGTCGTAGACCGCGGTGGCGGCGACGGCGACGGCGACGGCGGCAAAGGCGACGTCGACTTTGACGTCCTCGTTGTGGAGGCCTGTCTGGTCGTTTCTGGAGGTTCTCGTCGCCACGGCCGCACGCAGCTAGAGAGACTGGACCGGCTGGGCCCTAGTAGGGATTGGGGGATCCGTTTGTGAAGTCGATTTGGTCGGACGCGGCGGCGACGACGACGACGACGACGACGACGACGACGACGACGACGACGACGACGACGGCGGCGGTGGCGGTGGCGGTGGCGGAGGCGGCGGCGGCAACCGTGGCGGTGGCGGTGGCGGCGGCGAGGCAGACGGCGGTCGCGGTGGCGGTGGCGGTGGCGACGAGAACAGCGGCCGACGACGGCGACCTCGACGACGACGGTGACGGCGACGTCCAGAGGGCTCCGGGAGATCCCAGGAGTCCTTCCGAGGAGGGAGAGGGGGAGGAGAAGGGCGGCGAGGGAGGTCAATCCCAATTACTACATCCATAGTCATCCCCTCCTCTCCTCATCTCATTCCCTCCTTTCTCCTTCCATCCCCTCGCCCTGCACCCTTCTCACACACCCCTTCTCCTCCTCGCTTCGCCCTCCCTGCGAAGGCTCTCACTGGCCAAGGATACTGAAGCCGAGCGGGCGTTGCCAGCAGCGACATATTCAGGTCGACAATGACTTCCTCCTCCTCCTCCTCCTCATCGTCATCATCCTTTTCTTTCCTAGCACTACGGCATAATGAACTGGCTGCGGGCCAGCGAGGAGGTGGCGAGTGCAACAGGTGTTTTTGCTTTGGTTATGCTTATGGTTGTATTCAGTTTTAGCCATAGCTACTGCTCCAAATTGCTTCATCTGTTCCTAGTCCCTCATCGCTGTCGCTCGCACAGGTTGATGCACGCTGTTCCAGATTTAGGTGCGTGGCTGGACGTTGGCATGCATTTCCGGTACAGCTCAGCCTCAACCTTGTTCAAGCCTCCGGTTGTACCTATGGACATATCCTCAGCGTTAGCCTGAGCCTTAGCAAAGCTTGATCGTCGACATAGCCTAGCTCAGATGTTCACCGATGCTCCACATTCCTCGTTCGTTTCAGTGGTAGTTTCCCTCCCTATTTGCATCAGCTGTGGCTTCAGAGTACGCGTTAGCGTTGGCCTCGGCTTTCTTGCGCGCCCGCTGTACACGGCACCACAGCATTGTGACACCAAGTTTCTGGCCACCGCGACTCCCAGGCCGGGCTACACCCCAGATAGATAGTTCAAGGTTCCCCTGGGGAGCCACGCATGCCTCGTCGCCAAATAGCGGTGCGGAAACCCGCCTGCGCACGTGCGTGTGTTACTTCCACGTCCTCTTTCATTCCACATCCTATTTCGTCGCGTCCTACTTGTCTGGGGGCTACTACTACTACTACTACTACTACTACTACTACTACTACTAATACTACTACTACTACTACTACTACTACTACTACTACTACTACTACTACTACTACTACTACTACTACTACTACACTACTACTACTACTACTACTCTACTACTACTACAACTACTACTACTACTACTACTACTACTACTACTACTACTACTACTACTACTACTACTACTACTACTACTACTACTACTACTACTACTACTACTACTACTACTACTACTACTACTACTACTACTACTACTACTACTACTACTACTACTACGAACTACTAACTACTACTACCATTACTACTACTACTACTACTACTACTACTACTACTACTACTACTACTACTACTACTACTACTACTACTACTACTACTACTACT